CCACCCTGCTGTACCTCTCTGAGTACGTTATCTAAGACTCTCCTCCGCATAATCCATTGCTGGAGTCACACTGGCTTCCTGGATATTCCTAGAAACATCAGGTCACTTCTCTGACCTTTCCATCATCTCTTCCTCCAGGTGGCCCACAGCTCACTCCTCTGCCTCCTTCATTCCTTTGCTCATATGTCACTTTCTCAATGAGACTTTCCTTGGCAGCCCTTTTAAAAATGGCACATACATACAAGCACTCCTTATCGCCCTTCCCATTTTTATTTTTCTCCATAGTGTTTATCGCCTTCTAAAATACTATAAAACGATCTTATTCATTGTTTGTCTTCTTCCTCAACGTAAACTCCACGAGGTCAGGGATCTTTGTTTTGTTTTATGTACTTCTGTCTCCTCAACGTGTAGAACACTGCCTGGTACGTGGTAACCAATAAATATTTGTTGAATGAATGAATCTATAGACAAAACATTACCCAGCTCTTCCCGTGTGTGGCCTACTAACTACTAAGATATGGAACAGTTATTGGGGAAGGTCTTGCCTATCGGTTTCGTTTAAATACAGTATTATTTAATTAAAGGGAGGAGCCAGCCCTGGTGGTCTAGTGGTTAAGATTCAGTACTCTCACCTTCATGGCCCGGGTTCATTTCCTGGTCAGGGACCACACCACCCATCTGTCAGTTGTCATACTGTGGTGGCTGTGTGTTGCTGTGATGCTGAAAGCTATGCCACTGGTATTTCAAATATCAGCAGAGTCACCCATGGTGGACAGTTTTCAGCAGAGATTCCAGGCTAAAACAAACTAGGAAGAAGGACTCTGGCCACCCACTTCAGAAAAAATTGGCCTTGAAAACTGAGGATCTCTAGGAGTGAGAATCGACTGAACAGCACTAACAACAAAATTAAAGGGAGCATGGACCACAGGGGTAGAGCAAGGGTTCTGAAGGTCAGATAGCCCTGGATTTGAATAAATAGCTTCACTACTTACAACCTATGTGCCCTGGTGAGTTACATAATCTCCCAGCCTCAGTTTCCTCATCTGTAAAATGGGGATAGTAAAAACACCTTTCTCATTGAGTAGTCATAAAATTTTTTGAGCAAATGAGTGTAAACATTATGTTGGGCTTGTAATAAAACTCAGTAAATGTTTACAATTATTATGATAATAAGTATTGTAATTGCCCTTTATTTCCTAAATTTTTTGTAAAATATTTTACAAATGTTTACTCTTTTGACCAGAAGATTTAGCTCAAGATGTGAGTTGTTTCCGGATATGTTTGCACTTTGAAGCGTATTACAATGTTTCAGATATTTCTGTTTGAAATGATGTTACTTAAAACTGTTATTTACTGATGTCCTGCTAGTGTGCCAGATATTCAGCCAATTATATTCTAACTAGTACCTCTGCAAGGGGCCATTACTGTCACTATTTTATGCATAAAGGAACAGGCCCAGGATCATGGCGTGAGTACTCAGTCCCAGCTTGTTCAGCCTCCAAAGTTTAGGCTCTTTTCCCCCAGACCACTGTCCTCTCACTTTGAACTTCAGTGCCTTGCCCAGAGCTCTGGAAGTACATGGAATATTTGAGGAGTCAAAGGTGTGGTGTAGCTCAAGTAAGAGGCTTAAAGAGTCTTGAGATTGGAGATGAGACTGAAAGACTATACTCCGTGCTGTACTGTGTAGAGTTGAACCTGTAGGCTCTGGGAAGACATCAAAGGTGTTAAACTTGAGAATAAGATTTCAGAGAAGTGTAAACTGACAGAATTTACACGGATTGGTTTATGTCACTGACCACAGTGTAGTCTTTAACCTGACTATAAGCACATTAAGAATAATAGATTTCAGATTGGGAAAAATCAATATAAATTAAAGCCACGTTAAATAGTAGTTTTGTCTAATCTTAGGCAAAAGACTCCTTTTTTTTTTAATGTAAGCACCATTACATACTGCATAGTGTCTAAGATGGTCTCTTACAAATTATATTGCTTACCCATTCCAAAATATAAGATAGGTGCAGGGGCCAGCCCCGTGGTGTAGTGGTTAAGTTCACATGTTCTGCTTCAGTGGCCCAAGGTTCATGGGGTTCAGATCCCGGGCGTGGACCTACTCATTGCTTATCAAGCCATGCTGTGGCAGGCGTCCCACATATAAAGCAGAGGAAGATGGGCACGGATGTTAGCCCAGGGTCAATCTTCCTCAGCAAAAAGAGCAGGATTGGCATCAGATGTTAGCTCAGGGCTAATCTTCCTCACCAAAAAAAAAAAATAAAAAAAAAAAGATATATATGTGTGTGTGTGTATATATATATATAAGATAGGTGCAGATAGGAGAGTATTTTTGCCAATGATGGCATGCCACTGGAATTTAGAATAGCAAAATGACTGTAAAGTGGTTTCAGAAGGTGCTCAAACTGTTTTTGGTCTCTAGAGCTTTAATACCTTTATTCCAGTAGAAAACAGTGACTGAGAGAGTAAGTAACGTGACAGATGGCTGATATTGGTTTTCCCTAGGAATGGTCTTGGGAAATAATCAACTAAATGGTAAGAAAATACGGATAGCCACAGCCTCATGGGCCTAGAGTTTGATAAATGCATTAGTTTCTTAAGAAGATATGAAAAATGTTAAACATTAAGAACAAATTTTGTTTCTTTAGGATCTTTTAGCTGATCACTGATTCCAGATCTTCTTTTATCAGCAAATAAAGATATAGTAACAAAGAAGTTGACGATCTGGGAGACTTTCCATGGGGTTGGTTAAGAGTATTGGAAACCTCTTACACAATTGAATATAATTCCTGCGGGGAAAGAATCAAGTAAAGACTTTCATCCTCTGCTTATAGAAGTTGAAAGTAAATTTTTTTCCCCAAAGATATTGGTTTCTGGAATTTGTTCTTATGTTTTGCTGTTAGAGAAGTGGTGCAATTTTGACTGAATCTGTTGCAGACGGTTGACCAGTTGAGGGCAAGTAAAACCAAATCAGTGGAAATAGAATAGTAACTGAAGTAAAGCAAGTGAAAATGAGGGAACAAAAATGCCAAAAAGTGCTATGTATATGTAGTCTTTGTTTTATTAAATTAACATGAATGTACATGTATATGAGAAAAATCAAAAGGAGATCCAAGGAAGAGTGTTAAACTTACACTTGTCTTTTAAGTAAGTGTTTAGAGCTAATCATTTTATCTAAAGTTCTGTCTAAAATGCAAGTGATGTAGATACTCTTTTGACTACATAAATATGGCTTTAATATTCTCTCTGCTTGTTATAGGTAGATATATTTTCTCTCTCCAACCCTTTTATAAACTATTTGAGGTTGTAATTTATGTCCTCTATTCTTTTGTTCATACCGTAGTACCCAGTACAAATCTAAGTAGAAAGAAGATACTTAAAATGAGGCTTAAGAATAAGTAAGGTTTTAAAACTTGAATCTACTTTTTATGCTTGTACCTGAATTCTATGCGACAAAATTAAGTTGTTGATGTGGCAAATAAAACCTATTACAATGTGTTTTAATGAACAAAATATTCTTTTTTGAATACTATCTTCCATGGTATGTGTGAGCTTTAAATGAGTGTGGTAGCAAGTAGGGCAAGAGGAATGAAGAAGTAGAGAAAAAAATAATACAGATCCTAAGCCAGAGGTAAAATTTTCACCAGACCTCAAAGACTTTCAGTTCTCTATTCTTCATTAAAAATTATTCCCAAGACCAAAAATTGAAAAGACTACTATAATGTTAAATTATGCAATTATCCTGGGGTATAGGAGGCCACTGAACTAACACACACATATTAAATCTCTTTTTCAATATAAAATTAATAAATTAAATTAAAGGTGGGTCAAAGTTTGTACAGCTCATTTTAAGAATTACAATATGGAAAGTAAATACACTGCTGTGTGAGAATACATAGCTTATCTGTCACTGATAGCTAATGAATTCCTTCCTATTAAAATTTAATTGAAAATCTTCAATGATATTTAAGCTTTCACAGAAGTGTAAACTACTGTGACTACAATTCACAATGCATTTAAAACAATTATTCTTTATCATTAAAGTTAATAATATGCACATTAACCTCTTATGTAGTCTAAATCAATATTGTAGTTTAAAAGATATGACCTCTGGACAGCTTTGTCTAAATATTGATTTCATTGTCATTTGTATAAGGTATCAAACAAATTACATGCTGCACTAATATCATTAATGCTTCCCCCATAGAGCCTCTGACTTTATGGGTTCTTATAATACAGGACATGACATTACAAAAATATTGAGGACATCACACAATATAATTGCCGAATGGACGAGATTTGACGATGGCAGAGCAGAGTGGCTGTAAACACATGATAACTTCCAAATCCTTTACTCTCAGTGGACAGAAAAAATACTGCTCTTTTACATGCAGATTGGTTGTTGAAGTTAAGTTTCAAATGGCAGAATTTTTTCTGCCCCAGAGGGTCTAATTTGCCTTCTTGTGGTGCCATAGATATTTCAGAAGAGAATCTAAAGTCAGAATAAAATGTTGTAATTCTGCAATATAGCAGTTTTCCCAAAATAATCTTGTTTAGAAATTTCTATTACAAGTTACTGGTGAGTCAGATGAGTTGGAAAATACGCGCATAAAAGTAAAGGGGCTGAACCTTTCAAATGGTCATTAAAGAATTAAATACAAACTGAGGTAGGGACATACATGCATCACATTTTCCCACAGAATTGGCAGCAGTTATATCATTATTTTTGTAAGAAAATAATTGCAAATTGAAATAACAGCTGTATAATTTGCTCTCTTTTACTTTTTTCCAGGTTCTAAATTGCTATGAATCACAATTGTTAACATCATCCAGTTACATCTAATTCTATTTTGATGTTTTATTTTTTAATTTTTAAAATTGTACTTTGCTTACTGTTTTCTATACAACTCTTTAGAAATGTGGCCATGATCTGACACTGTGAGCTATGGGTGCTATTTACACTAAAAATTTTCCCCTCAAATCTCTTATAGGTAAAAGTGACCCATTTTGTGTGGTTGAACTGAACAATGATAGGCTGTTAACACACACTGTCTACAAAAATCTCAATCCTGAGTGGAACAAAGTCTTCACCTTGTAAGTAGTCATTACTTTGAGCTCATTTCAAAAATGGTGCTAACTGATATTTATTTTTGAGATTTTGTGTGTGTGTTTCTTCTTCACTGATTAACAACTCAATGCATCTGGCCTGCCTTTGCTAGCAATGATGAATTTCATAACTGCGTTACCTTCCTGATAGTGAAATCTGGGGAAAGGGTATGCCGTTTTTCTTTGTTTGCACAGATATTTTTTTAAACTGTGCATTTTACATGATTTGACTAAAGATTTTTCTCCCATTAACTGAATTTCCATACTGCTTCTTCCTTTTATACTTTCTATTGAAATTCTCCCCAATTGCATTGACACCAAGGAGGACAAAGCTCTATTTGTTCCATTGCTCAAATCAGCAAACAGTCCGGTCTCGAAATCGGCAGATGCTTTAGTTTTGGTTTGTTGCATTTTAGCACAATAAGGACATTAAGTATTGTCCTAGTTACCAAAACACCTTTTGAGTTAATTTCTCTTTTGTTTTAAAGAGTTTGTAAATCTTTTCGATCACGTACTATAAAGCTGCGAATGCTACACTATAGTATCTCCTAAGTTCGTTTTTTTGGTATGTTTTTATTTTTAAACTGGGCTTTAGAAATGAACTCTGAACAAAGGAAAACTCTCCAAACAGAAGTACTTCTTTAAAGTTTTCTAACACAGATTTATTTTTTTGTATATTTAAAACTGCTAAATTCCTCATTAATTTCTTATAATGTCTCTGCTTAAGAGCCAGTAACTAATCAGATTTAATTATCTGACCAATTTATCTTTAAGGAATTCCACATTTTTATAAGAGATGAAAGCCTGGTCAGGAGACTCACAGTCCTAAGGTTGTGGAGGGTGTTTTTCTCTGGAATGCATAATTGAATGAATAGGTTTGATTATTATCAAAGCCATTAATTGATTGTGCCCTGATAAAGCCTTTTCTCACACATGGTTGCAGTCTTTCAGTAATGAATATATTCATTTTTTGTTTTCTCTTAATTCATGTTTTCTTGGTAAACAGTTTGATCAAAGAATAAATGCTGTCAACAATTGGGGCTTATTTTTCTAGAAACAAAAATATGAAGAGCTTGCACAGTTGTTTATTAGCATATGTTGTCTTTGGAGCATAATGGAACACGACTTAATTTCTAAATCCTCGGGAGGTACAATAGCTATCAATGTTACATTTTCTCCATTCTATTTTCTGTATTGGTTAATTTGTACTATAAATCTAACAGAAATAAATCAATGTTTTGGTAAGAGCTGTAAACAAAAAGGAGATATCCTATTATAAAAAGAAAAATCATACAAAATATGCTGTGACTCTTGCTGCTGTCCAACCTGGTGGTCTTTTATGTGCAGGTAATAGGAAGATAGGAATTATTGTGATAATGAGAAGGAAAAGTCTAAAAAACATCCGTGCCACTAATTGATGGTTTATTCTTTTTACAATAACTTACTTTATGCCCATTCAGATGGCAAATTATATTTCATTAAAAAATTATAACTTGAAATTACTATGGTGTTCAAAGTCCCAGATAATAGAACCATCATTGTAGTCTACTAAGGTGCATTGTGGGAAATTCTGTCAGATACCAAGCTACCTTATATATATGTGTACGCAAATAGTATACATAAAAACACACACCAAATCAGCTGGAGCTATCTAAATTTTCAAAAGCATTTTTGTTCTTGTTCCCCACTGATGAAGTCTTTTTTTCCTTACATATATTTATTATGCAGCAACATTAAAGATATCCATTCAGTTCTTGAAGTGACAGTTTATGATGAAGATCGGGATCGAAGTGCTGACTTTCTGGGCAAAGTTGCTATACCGTTGCTGTCTGTAAGTTTTATTCACCTGACACACCGCTCTGTGTTGCTTTTGCTCAAGGAAAAAAAAAAAAACCCTCAGCTCTATATCTGTCATTTCTCAACCAAGGTCTGTAATAAGAACACTAAAAATTTTAACATACTCAATTCACGGCCATGTTGAATCCCATGATAGTTAATTTTTCCTGACAGACTTGATCCTGGTAATGAACAGGTACTTGTCAGAATTGCCACAGTTGTTTTGGGTTCTCTGTCAGTTTCAGCAGCTGGGGGTCAAAGGTCACCGAGGGAGTGTATTCAGTGGAGACCGCGAGACAGACGGCTGTCATGTCCTTTTCCCGCAGATTCAAAATGGTGAACAGAAAGCCTACGTCTTGAAAAACAAGCAGCTGACAGGGCCAACAAAGGGGGTCATCTATCTTGAAATAGATGTGATTTTTAATGCTGTAAGTCTTAACTTTGGCTTTTTTGTACTGCTAAAGAGTTCAGTTTCATGAAAGCTTTTGTTCCTGATTTGTAGAGAGTTTCTGTCATTCCTCATTTTCTCTAAACCTTGATGTATCCTGGAGAATACGCTTCTGCCACCGCCTGGCACACCCACACTTTCTGTGACAGTTGGCGGCTGCCGTGCGGCTGTGCTGCGGCCGCTGCCTGCCGGCGTGAGGAACGGGAGCACAGGCATGTGCAACTGTATACATTTATATTTTATGAGCACAGCAGCCAGGACTTTGAAACTTTCGCAATGATTGCAAATTGAACTGCGTGAAAAACTCGTAAACGTTTGTAATATATTAATCCATAACAGACACATATGTTGATGTACAGGTGAAAGCCAGCTTACGAACATTAATACCCAAAGAACAGAAGTACATTGAAGAGGAACACAGACTCTCTAAACAGGTAAAGAGTAAGGACAGATGAATCCCTCTGGGAAGGCCTCATTATACCTGTAAAACATCTAAGTAAATTCAAATAAACTTTGGAGGTACGGAGGGGGGAAGATTATGGAATTTTTGATCATCTACTTATGTGAAATGGCTCCTTCTTTTTTTCCTTCTTTTTCTCTCTTCCCTTTCTTTCCTTAAAAGATCAAACAAGGACAATACCAAACTAATAAGTTGGATGGGGGTGGTCAGAAAGGAAAGGGGATATTGTAGGCACTGCATAGAATGGATATGTATTCATGAGTGAGCAAAAGAAAGCTCATTTTGAACATAAAATACAATTTGATTGCCATGGAATGTGTAAATGAGAACACCAAAGGCTGAGGTTCAAATATATGTCCAGACCACCCACAGGTATGATGCAGGTGTGTGGAAAGCGAGCCCAGCAGAAAGCCCTTCCCTCTAATCCACAAGAGAGGGGCTCCATCTTTTAAGAGAAACCTTCCTGTTAATTAGATTTTGACTATGATCTTTTAGAAGTGAACTTTTATTGGCATTTTTAGCTAAGAAAATAGAAAATCAGCAAATCTGATTTTTCTATCATGAAGGAATTTTAAATTAGGCTTGCTATCTTGTAGTTAGACTTGTAGTTTTAAATTAGGTTTGATATCAAGTTAAGAAAGAGTACTAAATTTCCCCTTAAAAAAATGTTTACTTCCGATTAACACAACTGAAATAAAATGTATTTGTTATGGCTATAAAGTTTACCGAACTCATTTGTGTGTGTTAAAATATTTAACAATTTTCTGTGCTATTAGAAGACTAAAAATATTTTTGTTTTTAATCCAAACAATTCACCATAAACAGTGGGATCTTTGGTTGTTTAAAGACAGTGCATGAGTTACAAATGCAATATCTATCTAAATAGAAATACAGATCACATTTTTCTACAATTATAGATAAAAGTAATAAAAGTAGCTCTTAAAGGAAGGTGATCAGGGGCCAAGAAGGAAAACAAATAAGGAGACTCTTAACTTTGTCTGAAAGGAATTTCAATTTTAACAATTTGTTAAAACTGATATGCATGTACATACATCTATATTTATACATACATATGTATTTTTTCCATAGGACCTCAGTAAAACTTTACATAGCTACTTCTTTAAAATACCAGATCAGCATTGATGTATATTTGGAAGTAGCAAAATATTAACCTGCAGATATGTTATTCTAATTATTAACATAGCTGTAGGTAATTTTTTGAGCCATCAGCTAGTGTATGGGCTATTCTTTTTACAGTTGTAGTCATGCCTTAGTTTTCTATTTTAAATTTAAATTATATCAATTCTCATATATCTTTTCGAGTAAAAGATTTTGTAAAGAACTTGGTTACCATAAATTTTTTCCTAACTCCAAAATTATGAAAAAGTAATGAGAAAATATAGGTTAAATTTATGGTGGGAAAGAAAGAGAGAGGAAGAGGGAGAGGGCGAGGGAAAGAGAGAAAAGGAGAGAATGAGAATATGATAGTAAGAAAGGGAGACTCCTACTAAAATGGTGAAAAAAATTTGTTTTCTATAATAAAGCAACACTTAACCGGTTTTTCTCTAAAATCCTAAATAAAAACATTCCAAGTTGTCCATTGCAGTTTGAAATATCTTGAAATTAACACACTTGAAGAATCTTAAAACAACAATAAGATTTAAGAGTTAAAAAATATATTTAACGTTCACAGTATGTAAGTAGCAAAAAATGTTTTTAATCTATTGGAGATTTTTTTTCTTTTGAACAAAGGTAGCCCAATCTACATGATAATATTATTTAAGAAAATATATTTAGCTAAGAAACTGCTCTTATAATTCCATTCTTTCCACTTTCTCCAGCAATACTTCTTTTTCTTTAATTTGTGAGCCAAATTGTTTGGTATATTCTTACAACTTTATTAACTTTCTGAATCCTTTTTAAATCACACTAAGCTTGAAGAATTTTGTAGCAAATCTGATGGGTTTTAGTCTTGCAAAGTCTAATAATATTTTCATCTTCCTTACAGCTGCTACTGAGAAACTTTATCAGAATGAAGCGTTGTGTCATGGTGCTCGTAAATGCTGCATACTACGTTAATAGTTGCTTTGACTGGGATTCACCCCCAAGGAGCCTGGCTGCTTTTGTGGTATGATCATACTGTATTATTTACATTGTTATTCATTAAATTCGGTAATCACAGCTACATGTTTCTGTGGCTATAGTAACAGTTATGTTGATGTGGCCATTTAAAAACTCCTATTTTAAGACTTGACTGGACAGATTTGCCGTGGGCAGGAAGCTGATGGATTGTTCAAGGTCTGAGTCCAAGAATACTTCCCCCCCTCAGATTTCCGGAATGCAAGACATCTCCGCCAATGTATAATTTTCTCTGTGACAGTTAAAAAGTAAATTTTACATATTGCATAATTCCAAATCCCAATAGCAGAGCCAAGAAAAGTCCTTAGTGTTAAGAAAAATCAATAATCTTGACCATCCTCATTTTAATTGTATTTGTTCTGTAGATATTTTTTCAAACTATGAAAATCATTGGCAGTAGAATGCTAGTTGGTACTACTTTAATATTGAATCAATTGGAAGTGGATGCGATCTATTGAAGAATCGTTTTATTATTTCTGAGATTTCAAGTTTTTAAAAAGGCACAAGAGAGAATTTGATAGATCCAAATAGTCTTCTAACAATGTTCATCTTGTAGCCTTTTACTTTAGTTATTTAAAAACTGCTGATGAGACCAAGTTACAAAGCTAGAAAATCCGAAAGAATACTTTCCTCTGAGTTTTAACTGGGATTTTCTGCTCTCACATTATTTTTGCTTATTCAGGATTTCAGTTTGAAGTTTAAGTGGAGTCCTTTTTTTGAAATCCTTTATTTTATTGTCCTATTTGTTAGAGTATGACTACCTTATGCTTCCTCATAGTTACCAGTTTAGCAGAATATGACTTTATTATGGGGGCTTACAAGAAAAGCCTTAATTATAGTAACAAATCAACATTTTAGTATTACCATTCAAATGAGGATATGCACATCTGTTTAGTACTTTGAGCTCTGTCCTCCTCTCAGGCCTTGTATGAGACTTTCATTAATGTCTGAGCACATGGAACAAAGAGTGTGTATGTCCCTTTGTGTTCTAAGTTACCAGAAAGTTAGGCGGCCTGCTTCCCAAAGACATGTTGTTGTCTCCTTAAAGAAAGCGATTGTCATCATCAAGTTTTAGAAAAGAAAATCTGCCTCTTTCAATATTCTTTTATTTCGCTGTTTCACATAATAAATACATCAGGGTACTGTTCAGCAAATTTTATTATGATTTTTCATTATCATAGAGGCACTTTGACGTTAATGAGGAAAAAAATGATATTGAGTTTCTTACGTTTATTTTATGCCATTACTTCCGCGTTCCATGGGTCCTTACAACAGACACAATAGTAGTCTGCTGAAAAAATCATACTGCCATCTTTGATTCACTCCTTCCAAAGTCATTCCCCACAGCTGTTTGTGAAATTTGAAAACAGAGAAATCTATATAATTATATTGTTTGTTCAGGAACCTTCATTTTGGATGCTTTAGCATTACAATGTGTTGTGTAAGCCATCATAAACTTGGCTTCCAGAGGTCGCTCATATAAAATGAATTCAAGATGGCAGATTTTTTCACAATTTCCTTCTGATTAAAAAAAATCAGGCACTGAAATTCTGAGAAACTTAGGTACAGTACATAATACTTGAGTGATTTCACTGCAAGGGAGGCTAAGTTCACTGGGGAAGAACTGTAATATCTCTCTTAGCTGGTAGTCAGTTTCTATGACACTCTGTGTTTCTTTTTCTATGAAACACAAGCTGAATGCAAGATGCTTGAGGAAAAGTGGGGCAGGGCACAATAAGGGTAGGAAAAGGGACTGCTGACACTGCTGGTGAAAAAAGAGGCCACAAACTACAATGTGAACACATACTCAGAATACTTTTGAAAAGAAACAATAACATTAACTGTTTCATTGACCAAAAAATGCACTGAATTACATTCTACAGAATGTGATGGAAACAACAAACAGCAAAACCAAACTTCACTTACCCAGACTTGAATTGGGAGTTCCACGAGAGTGGGAACCCTGCCTTTTTCACCCTGGTACCCCAGCATCACCTATAGTGTGTGTAGTCCTCAGTAGGCTCCCAATAAAAATGGCTGTCTATATCACTCGACCAACCACTGAACCAGTCGATCAATCTGAAAATTTTTCTCATGTGAAGAAAGTCTTTATTCAATGATGCCAGATAAATAAGGGTTTGCTCTAACAAAGCTAGTTATTAAGTGATGATGAACATAGCTTAATGCTGTTGTAGCAATTTTGCCTAGACCTTCTATTTAAATTCTAAACTATTTCATAATCCTCTATCAATCATCTATTTTAACCTCAGATTAAATTCTGATACAAAAAGATCCTTATAGAATAATAACAACAACTAATATTTATTAAGCATTTATGTGCCAGGGAACCGCTTTTCAGGCATTAATGTATGAAAGTGCTTTTCATGCATTAATGAATTTAATATTCCCAGCAACCTTATTATGAGGTAGGTACTATTATTTTCCCAATATACGGAGGAAGAAACCGAGACACAGAAGAGTTAAGTGGCTTAGCCAAAGCCACACAGCAGATATTATTTCCTTTCTAAAAGACCTTTTAAAATATATGCCTATAATCTTAATATCATAACAATTCAGAAACAAAACTGTTGTGGGATTTTTATTCATCTTGTAGATGGTAAATGATGTGAGTATTTAAAAACGAAATGTTTCAAAGACCTCATTGCATAACCAGAGCCTTTTTAGGCCAGTTTATTGAAAAGAACTGCTTTCCATTAGGAGAAGGGTATGAGCAGCACCCCTTTGCTGCAAACATATTGTTCCCATCATTCGCTGTTGATGGATCGCGGGTCTGCTACTATAATATTGGCTGCACTTGGCCCACTTCTTCATAAATGCAGCTGCCTCATGGCGCACGTGCATTTGTAGCATCACGCGGCCTGGTTTTAGGCCCCCATCGGTAAACTTTACGACGTTTAAGTGGTTTTTTCTATTCCTTTTTATTTTTCTTTTCTCATTTACTACCCAAAAATTAAGTGTAGAAAAATGAAATCAAAATGGAAAAACAATAATTTTTTGTCCCAATGGCCACTAAAGCGGGAAGCATGAGAAATGCAGGGTTAGGCCCGTTCTGGCCTCTCTGGCACTATGCTGGTATGCTGTGGGGAAGATTCAAAGGCAGCTAATGAAATTAGAAGCTGAAGTTGGCCTGGAAGGTGATGGGTAAAATATAAGCAAACACGTTCCTGGGAATGTCCTTGTTTTTGTGTGCTGTGAATTAGGTTTTTAAATTTTACTATGAATATTGTATGCCTGGGAGCGAACACAGACGTACGTGGTGCAGAAGGCACTGCTTGTCTTTTGGAATCATCTATTGTAGATGTGGAAATGTCTCATAAATTGGGCCTAATTTTCATCAGGCTCTTGACCAGACATTTGTGTTCCTGTGGATGTCAGTGGGCGCAACACAGACAAAAAAAGAATGCGCATTCTCTCTTTCTTTTCAGTACTGTCATTTCTCACTGTAATGAGCACAAAAATAATTGGACAACTGAGCTATCAGTAAAAGGACACACTTCAGTGTGCGTCAAAGAATTATTTTACAGGACAAACTTTAATCTTTAAATGTGATTGTAGATAATTTGTGGTACCATCTGTCCATTTGGAATTGTTTTAGCCTTTTCTGTCGTTGTACAGTAAGTGCCGCTGTGTTTAACATTAACATTTGATATTTTACACATTTAATTTCTGTTCTGCCGTGTGGTCCTTAGGGAACGGAGCGCTAGTGCTACATGAGAGAGACAAAGTATTGATCAGTTAACATTTCAGCTACATTTATGTATGTCGCAAAATTAATGAAAATGCCAGATAAAAATGTCAGAGTGCACAAAAAGGTAGAATTTAAATTTGGTAGTTTAATGAAAAGTTTAAAATGTGCATTATCAAAAATGTCCTCTTGCCTTTAAAGTACAAATCCTAACAGAATAACTACAGGGAGACACATATTTTACTTAAAGGAACAATGAACATGCATTATGAAGGGATGTCAACTCCTCAAAGTACCTTGTGTTCCAAAACGGCATGTTCGAATGCTTAACTGTTACTCATAAAATACATTTGTTTCTGTTCACATCTGGAGGGCTACTGGCTTCAGCCCTCTGTAGTGACCAGCCTCCGAGGGGGCAGGCTTCCTACTGAGAGTCTCCCCCTTGGTTTTGCTTGGTATCCACGCGTTCCTTTTGTGTCAAAACTGAGAATTCCCTCTACAGCAATTCATCGAGTCCACTCGGGTTCATTACTCATTCCTTTCTGGGTCCTTTTCCAATGCCTGGTTTTCCTTTGCTTCCAGATAAATTGTGCTCCACCTTCATTCAATCCCCATTTTAGTAAAGGATCCCACTCGGGACAGCAGCTACTCTCAGAAAAGCTGGGCCATTATGCAGGAAAAGAGAAAAAACAGAGATGATGTATGCAGAGAATGACACGAGGCAGCTCTGTGTAGCCAAATGATAAAAAAAAAAAAAAAAAAATGGAGGCAGCACAAGCGAAGTAGGAGGAGCTGAACTTGCAGAGGCAGGGGGCACAGTACACCCGTCTGAAGACAATAGGATACCTTATCAAGGACTTCCTGTGGGGAAAGCCTGCTGCTGTTAAACAACATGTGGATTTTTCTAGAAGTTATTACAAACAATAAGGACATTTTAAGTGGCCTTCATGTTCAAGGACTAAAAAGGGAGCATTGCTTAAGATGAAATATCAATGTGAAAACAAAGGCATGTCTATGTCACCTGTAATTCAAGTCTTAGCATTCATCTCACTGAACAATATAGGGTGATTGTTCTGGACGTGTGGAAGGTAACTTAAAATTTCCAACAGAAATTTCTATTTTAAAACTTTAAGAGACATGAGTAATATCACACCAACAAAATTATGCTTCAAGTCTATGGCAATTTTCAAATGGTTTTTATAGAAGCTTTTTTTGTTGTTCTTGCTACAGTTATTTTTTTAGTGCTACCAGAAAAGTTGGAAATGTTCCAGATGTAATTTTTG